TGTTTTTTTTTTTTTTGGGGGGGGGGGGGGGGGGAAGGCATACAGGGGGTTAGACGAGGGCTTAGTGACGCTACTGCTAATGCTATGTGGGAGTCACTTTGGCCGAGAGTCAGACAAGATTCATACACGCTGCAACACTGACATAGAACTGCGTGTCTTTTAAGTGCCTGACTCCAGAGGAAAACAAGCCTGAAGTTTGGCATTAGTCTCCCCATGCAGCAGCAACTAATGAAAGAACTAATCACACAGAAGTATGCATTATGTTTTGTGGATTCTACTTTGACGTGGGAAATCTGAATTTAGGTATTTCCAGTTGGTTAGATACCCAGGTCTCTTTTGGAAAATGGGCTTTTCTGTTTTGGCTTGCTAATAGGAAATTGGAGGATCTGAAAAACTTTAAGCAAAAGACTGTTCTCATCAATAGTAATTCTTTCAGATGAAAGAAAATAAATTTGAAAGTGAGTTCAATGCAAGTTGGATAAGAATATGATGACTGCTGTGTAAAAAATATCAACAGTTTTAATGGAGAAAAAATAAGGGAGAGAGATTTTCAGAATTCCATAAGCAAATCACTGAATTCCTAGTAGGACAGGATCAAGAAAAAAAGAGAGAAAAAAATGCTTACTAAAAATTTTTAAAAACCCCATGCAAATGGGAGGTACCAGGGTAGATGTATTTAATATTATGAGAACAGAACAGTGAATGACATTTACGAATCACTGAGTTTATGAGGCTGCATATATATCAGTGTCCCAGAACCACAGTTGCTTTTTAGGAGAGATGTATGTATGGAGTCCTAGTAAAATCTAAACAATAACGTTGAGATGCAGTGATCTTTGTTCATAAATGTTGCTATAACATTGTGGTTTATAGTAGTATTTTCTGTTTGGATATTTAACTACAATGCTGTAATGATTAATCTCTCTCAGATACAAAGTCTGTGAAATGGGAATAGAAAATACTCTGTGGAAACGTAACTAAGAAATTACACACAGTTTAATAGTTTTTGTATTAGTAATCTGTCTATTTTTAGTTTCCTAGCCTTCAGGCAGAGAAGCAATCAGTATGGTCTTCTGAACTGTAGCTATAAGCATGATCTCTTTAAGAATCTTGCAAAACTCAAAAGTTAGGAAAGTCTTGGGTTTACTTGCAGTCTGTCAGAAATTGTTGCTTTGCCTTTGTGCAGTGTTTTTGATACAATGCTATTTCTTGTGACTTGTGCCCTGATTTTGTTTGCTACCACAAGGAGTCTTTTGTTTCAAACAAAACCTTGCGGTTAATTTTCTGCTAGGTCTTTTCATGAAAAAAGAAGGTCACAGCTTATAGCATTTGTATTGTCATTGCAAGGGACTGTACAAACTGTTCCATGGACCAGAATGTTTCGGTGATTAATTTAACGCTTGCTACATGTTTTTAAAGTAGTATTTTCCTTTTTTACAATTTCAGTGCCCTGTGTGTTATTTAGACACTTGTGTAAGGTACGAATCTCATTTGTGAGGATGAATTACAAAGTTACCATCATTTACGCATCCATAACTAACATGAAGTTAAGATCAAATATAAAGACAAGTTGAAATATTTTAAAGTATGTTCTTTACAGCTGGTGCTAACATCAATTTAGTAGTAAAATAGTATGGTATTTAAGTGAGACTTTAGTTTAATGCATTCTTATCTACAATTATCAGTAGCAAGTACTGATGCAGATTTTTACTTATTGCTTACCCACATAGTTCTTTGTATCTTAAATATTTTAATATGTGGGCATGATACAGCTATTTGACATTTTACAATTTGTCCTTTGTTTGCATGCAGCGAGGAGTTATGGGCGAAGACGAGGTAATTCACTTCTGTTTGTTACAGTACAATTAATTCTGATGGAGCTGTTACTGATCATTATGATTAATTAATCCAGACTGTTGATTGTAAACGCTTATCTGCATGTTGTCTTAGTTTGGGGAGGATGGATGGTGTGAGGGAAGGAGCAGTGGAGTCTGGATTGTTATGATCATTGATCTCTTTTTAGAGTTTGAATTACAAATCCTATAATCAGTTAAAACACTGTAGTTCTAATCATAATTTAGTTCGTGCTAATGGCTACTGCTTGCAGTTGTTACCCCCTTTAAAAATACACAGTTTGCTAGTTGTTCTTCTAACTCATCTTCTTTTGCTTCTGTAGAAGTGATAGTGTACAGAGTAAAAACTAAAAGCCTTTCATAAACTTAGCAAGAAATCTAGTAGACAACTCTTAGAAATAGTAAACAGATTTTTGTAGTATAAGCCAATGTATGCTCACTGACCTTGGAAAAGCTATACTGATTTAACTATATGAGGATGTGACTTGTGGTTGTTATAAAGACCACGTAAAATGTGCAGCAAAAACATCAAGATCTTTGATAGCTTCCAGTATTCACAGCATTACACGTAAGTTCATGTGTGTCTCTCTTGATCTCTGCATTGGTTCATAACTGATTGCTTGGTAGTCCTAATGTAGAGAGGAATGATGATCATGGTCAATGTATGTGGCAGTATAATCGTATTTTGACAATTCCTGGCAGATTCTGCTTAATTCTTTTCACTGTCATAAAACAAAAAGAAACAAGTGTTTAAAAGGACTTATCCTTTTAATTCACAGTCATCAGGAGAAATGTGAAAGTGAAGAGGAGGGAGAAGAAAGTATTAGGAGTCATACAGAGCATGTTACTCTAAATGTGTTAATCCATTGTCCTCTATGTCATCTTAGCTCTCTGAGGAGCTACAGTGCTTTTGGTAAACCTTTACCCACATTAAAGTAAAACTGATCTCTCTGGTATCACTTCAGAATATGTTCTGATGGTTTAATTTGTACTGGGAAGAGAGCCTTGGATTCTCATTGTTCTTTGACTTTAACATTGGTCTGTGGGTAAAAAATAAATTAATTCTGAGGGTTATTCTTTAATTATTCCCCCCTCCATGTACTTGCCTATATTGTAAGTTGGAATTGTCGAAGAAGTGCTTTTAGAGAAACACAAACATGATTTTCATGGTCCAAAGAGACACCTTCCTTAAGTATAAATTGTGTGGTGTTTTTAAAAAAACAGAACAAAAACTGAACCCCCAACACACACACTTAAATGCTTTTGTGGCAATACTCTAATGCCAACAGGTTTATTAAAATTGGCATGTTTTTAAGTCACGTAAGTTTCTTTTTTGCTGCAGTATAGAGACTTGCAGAGGTAAAGAGCAAATCTGTGTGCTTTTTATAAAGATAACCCAGCTAAACTACAGTCATTTAGATTTAAGATGTTAAGAATAACTCTCATATATTAACTTTCTGTTTCTCCCTTGCTTCCTCACTTTTCTGCCCCATTGAGCACCAGCTACATGCTTCCACTTTTAAAGGCACTCTACTTATCTGTTATCTAGCTGTTGAATGCTTCCTTATGATAGCAAGCAAGGATGCCATCACTTGCTCCCCAGTAGTCATATTCTCAAACATGCGTATCACCATTCTTAATGGAAGGGAGGAGCCTGCTACAGCTTTCTGCATTTGTTGTACTCCATCAGATGCCTACTTAAGACACAAATGGAAATGCCACCATAAATATGTTGTAGTTACAGTCTTTGTTACTTAGTACAGTCCTGTGGTCCTGCTTTTATTTTGTGATCCTCATGACATTTTATTATGTTTGGTTGTTTTCTATCATCTTGTGTTTTCATTCAGTATTTTTGATATACTATATTTTTTTTATGGATTTAGATACCAAATCAGGGTCATTAGGCATTACCACAACATAGGTCATTGGTCATGATGTTTGCTGTCTGTTCTTCAGCCTCGTCTTTAAGCACTTGATTCTCACGTGGTCTTCTGGAAGTGAATGGCTTTCATGCTGCTGTCACCCCTAGCTGATCAGCACAGTGTCTGCAAGTGTTCCTATGGGGCTTTCCTGGTAGTATTCCCCTGAGAGAGGATAAAAGTTAGACTGCAGTATGGCTCAGAGCTAGGGTACTGCAGTCTCAACTGTCAGGGACCTGCTGCTCCTGCATATGGATTTGCAGTGGGTGAATCTGGAAGAAGTTGGCTGTTTGAGATGGAAAATTAACTTGCTTCCCAAAAGTGTGCTAGGTTGTTTTTTGGTTTTGTTTGCTTGCTTGTTTTTGGAAAGCAGTTGAATTAATTAATAATTATTTAAAAAATGAGTGAGAGAGAAACAGGAAAAATTGCACTTCAGAAGAAATGGTGATGTGGGGTATTTATTTTGCTTCACAAAAGTGTTTCTTTTTGGGCTCTTTGCAGTTGAAAGACTGACTTCTGAATTTGAAACTTCATTAATCTTGATGTTGCTAATCTGAAGCAGTGAAGGTTTGAATAAGCTAAGATGCATATCCTGGCCTTCCAAGTCTTTTCATTTTGGAGTTCTCTAAAATTTGTAAATATGAAATAGGGTGCAAATAAGTGGGACACAGTTACCATGCTTTCACTCTCTCCTGCCATCTATACATCTGTTTTGATCAGTTTGCATTTGCAAAGCCATCCTGTGAACTTCTCAGATTTTACACTTGCTTTTCAGGGTAACTGTAATCTTTACTGCAGATTGCTACGTGTTAGGAACCACCACAAGGCTTCCCTCCAAAACTGTGGTAAATTTGAGAGTGAGAAGGCTAAATCAGCACTGTGACTCATTTTTCAAGTGTTACATTTTGCACATTTATTAAAATTCTCTTTTGCTTTCTTAGAAATTAAATCTTTTCTTACATTATCAGCATCAGATAGCTTTAAAAGAGAAGAGAAAACATACCTGTTTGGAACTTCGTACTGTGTACATGTTTTTTCTGTTTCCCTCTGTTCAGTTAAAGTGTAAGATTTTTTTAGACATGCAGTAGTCATTCAGGTGATGGAAGTTACCAATTTAACTTGAAGCTAAACCAAAGGCAGACTAACTAAACTCACTTAAGCAGCCCTTAATATGATCTCTTCATAAATAAGACCCTTTATTTAAAAACAAATTACTACTTTCCTACTGGATACAGCAGAGTAACTACAGTATAATGTAGTGTGAAGTATTATGCTTAAAGTGATGTCAGCTTGCAATCTTGAATTTCCTTTTTGAAGTTTAATACATTTTTCATTTTCTTAATTTTTCTTTAAACTAATATGTACTTTTCTAATACCGTGGTATTTTCATTTTTACTTTCCAGACTGCTATTACCCCATTCTCTAAAATTACATAACCACATACTGCCACAAAATTATTTTAATGTATATTATTATCTTTTCTTTTTAAGGCCGTTCTTCCCTCTTCCCAATAGATGATGGTTTGCTGGACGATGGTCATAGTGATCAAGTTGGAGTCTTGAATTCACCTACCTGCTATTCAGCTCATCAGAATGGAGAACGAATTGAGCGTTTTTCTCGGAAAGTGTTTGTTGGAGGTCTTCCACCAGATATTGATGAAGGTGAGCTGCCTGAAAACTAAGCAAACTAAGTTTGGAGGGAGAGAGAAGGAGAGACTTTGAAAAACCTAAATGAAGTAGTAGAAGTAATCCACCCAGCAAAATAATGTTGTGGTGTAAAAGGCTACAACTATATATATTTTTTATGAGAGTTGATGGATATGTGGAGCTTAATATCATTTGATGTCATCCATCTCCTCTGGTTTTGAGATGGTTCACTTGTCTCATTCTGCACTTGCAGATTACAGATTTGCATGTGATACCTGGAATAGGTGTTACTGCTTACCTTGCACATTGTGTTCAAATACATCTTAGCCCTTCATAGTGTCCTCTGTCAGTGCCTGCTTTATCCTCTATTTATAGAAAACGTCTATTAGTAATTGAATTTTAAATTCTACTTTACTATTACCTAAAGATCTCAGAAGTGGTTTGGAAAGGTTAATATTATTCCTGTTCATAAATAGAGAAACTAAGGCAGAAGAAGGTCAAGTGGCAGAGCACTCTGTGATGCATTGAACATAGAATGTACCACAGAAGCATAACAGATTGTTATGTGATGCAATTGGAATTGCTTTGTACAGTAGTGCTGATTTGAAGTAATCGTGCTGTTTAATACTAAGTTTCTCCTGTGCAGATAAACGTAAATTACATGTTAGCTTTGTAATGTAAACAGAATTCCCTTTACCAGGTTCATTGTAATCCTAGAATAACTTGCAAACCAAATAAGCTGACTGTGGTTAGTTAACTTTCAGACATGGAACAACCATAATTTGGTTTCATCTTTGTTGTGATGCTCTCCTGCAATGTACTAAGGGATTTATTTTAATATACTTCAGCTTTTTTTGATGCACCTTAGCTTCTAATTCAAATGTGCACTGTTGCCTTTAATACAAATGCTAAACAAAGACACATGGAAATATATTTTCTTTCTTTCCTGCCTGTTTATGTGCTGATGGCAGGATGCGACTGAAAGAAATGGAGCATATTTGTGTTTGATGAGTTATTGCTCTTGTAGAGTTTAGGGTGGTTTAATTTTTTTGTCATGGCCAAGATTCTTACGGTCAATGACAGGAAGGAGTGGCTGGGCTAGAAAGACATCACAAAGTTGTGCATGGGACACAGTAGATCTTGCAACAGGAATATTTGTGGTTATGTTAGAAGCACCTCTAAATAGGCAATTTTAAGTTTCTGTGCCTGATCTGTGCATGGTATCTGCTGGAAACTGCTAGCATGCTAACTGTAGTGGTACTTATTATATGAGTATCTACCTACAAAGCTCTGAACGGTACATCACTATACAGTAAATTGTTTTGATTGCATTCAAACCAGAATCTGAATTTAAGGAAGTACCACACTAGTTTTCACCACTGCCTTTAGTTGCCCATATGCTTCTGAAATGCTCCTGTTATTAAGCAATAAAAAACAAATGTAAGCTTAAAATCACCAGAAAGATATTGTGTAAAAATTAACCCTTTGGAAGATGTGTCTATTTTAATTTTTTTGTTCACGAAAGTTGGAATTTTGTTCCTTTTTCTCCAGGAAATGTCAACCTTTGCTAGAAACAAAGATCTTTGCTTGATGGTACTTCTTCATTGAGTTACTTCATTTATTTTAATTGCAACTATTATTATACCTGTTTTTAGATGAAATTACTGCTAGCTTCAGACGATTTGGGCCTTTGGTAGTAGACTGGCCTCACAAAGCAGAAAGCAAGTCCTATTTTCCACCAAAAGGTAAGAGGAAGGTTTTGACCTGTCACTGAGTGCAAATCTTACTCTGGGAAACTGTCTCATATAATTTACAATCCATGTGAACAGTTAATTATACAGTTTCAATGCAGTTTCAGACATAGTTCCTTTACATATGAAGTCTAAAACCTGAGAGTGTTATTTTAGTAATGTGCCTGATTCAGTCCTCGACTCTTGAAGGATCTTCCATATTCTGATTTCCCATATATCAGATCAGCGTTATATAGTTGTATGTGTCATTAATCCTGAATTCTGTATTTGCATTTCTATCTGGTTTCCAAAACAGAAATTTGGAGAAATTTTTAAGACTGAATCTGAGATAAAAAATTTCATAGGAGGTTACAGGTAGGATTCAGGAGTATGCATTTGGGTATCTGATCAAGATAGTCAATGTTATGTTTATTTCAGTTTTAGGATGTGAACTTCCTATGAAGCACTAATTATCTTTTTTGATAAATGATTAAATACTGATTGTTAACTATTTCTAGTGTTGCTGTTAGACTAGATTTTTTAATATCACTTACAAAGTGTTGGAAAAGCCATTCTGTACATTACATAAATTATGTAGCATATTTCTGTACATGTACAATCATGTACGGGTACATATAAAATAAATGCAAAAATCTGATCCAGATACAAAAGCAATGAAGAAATTATTCATTTTGTAGAGAATGCAGCAATTCATTCCTTCCCTGGAAGTCACAAAAGTAGGTATTGTCAGGCATTGGAACAGGCTGCCCAGGGAAGCGGTGGAGTCACCATCCCTGGAGGTATTCAAAAAGCACGTAGACAAGGCACTTCAGGACATGGTTTAGTGGGCATGGTTGATGGTTGGACTCGAATGATCTTGAAGGTCTTTTCCAACCAAAATGATTCTGTGATTCTAAGTATAGCGCCTCTGTAAACTGATTCTTCATTTATTTATCTGTCCATCTATGCTGGGAAGAAGACAGGATTATTATCCCAAATGTGTCCTTTAAAGACTGGGAAATGGAATTGAAAGTATTTGAATAGTATTTATGAACACTGCATGGAAATTCTAAGGCAAACAAAGAGACACTGGCTTTTTCAATTGTCAGCCTGATACACAAAGCTTCTGTCAAGTTAAATTTGATTATCCTAAGGAATGCATCTCTTTTCATAAATTACCAAGAGAAATTCTTGAGGAACTCTTTGAGGAACATGCATCTCGCAGAGTCTGTGATGAATATATGGAAGAGGGAAGATGTAACATAGTCTGACCTGAAAGGAACGGATTCTGGCATTCATTTCCAAGGAGATAGTCCTGTCTCAGCATCTGAACATCTTAAGGATATATTTCCGGACTTCCTCATTTAATAAAGCTTTTTGATATAATTGGAATATTTATAATTGCCACAGTAAAAAAAAAAAAAAAAAAAAAGCCAAAAAACCAAACCCCAAACCTCTGTATTATAAGCAGAGCTTCTTAAAAGCAGAGCATATAAATAGAAGAACTTCAGTCTGTTGATCTAATTAATTTAGGAAACACTTGCAAACTAAGTGTTAATTTGATTTCCCATGATTAACTGATACTTATTTGAAATTTAATAGCACTTACTGCTCTTCAGTCTTAAAACTTTATTCTAATTTTCAGTTTACTACATTATTCAATATTGTTTTGTAATGTAGCCTAACACATTTAAAATACAGTGTAGGTTTCTCTTTGTAGATGCTCTGGAAATATAGCTTGCTATTAACTGCTGAATATTACTCTGTTTATATCTGTTTTCTTCAGTGCAATAGATATGGCCCATGATTATTTTGTAGAAGAATTTCTAAAAAATTTGTCTTAAGTGTTACTCACATGTGCAGGCAAGAACCACGTATACGCATATTTAATAAGATGTCTGAAACTGCTAAAGATAGGCTAAATACTAAGAATGCTTTGAGATTGATCAGTAATTAGCAGTTTAGAAATACATACTGTATTAGCCCAAGCAGTTGGGGGTTTTTTGTTTGGTTTTGTTTTTTTTTTTTACATTTAGTCTCCAATTTCTAATTTGTCACTCTGCATGGAGTCAATTCAGTGTATAAATTTTTGTTTGTTCAGTCTCATTAGAGATTTAACATAGTATTACTTTCCAAAGACATGTTAGAATTGCCCAGTTCTGGACTGATTTACGTAATAGTCTTCTCCATGGTGAAGAGATACAGCCTGGTTTTTTTGTTTGTTTTTTTGTTTTTTTTTTTTACTTTTGTTCAGTTTTCCAGGCTGTGGCTCCTTCCAGGCTCTCTGCTTACAAAAAGTCCTGAGGGAAGGCCAAGTTCATAATAAGTATTTCCTTGCTTGAAGAAATGCAAAAAGTGCCCTGATCTATCAAGGCCGGCTGCCTCCTGAGAAACACCAACTGCTTGTTCTTAACTAATTACATTTTGTATTGGTTCACCACAAAATTAGGCCCAAAGAAAACAGTAATTTTAAAAACTTCACACTAATCTTACAAGGAAACTCTGTTCTGAAACAGAAGAAAAGTGAGATCAAAGTACAAAGTCTGTAAGCAATCTGCCAACTGTAATGGAGAATTCCTTCCTTTCTGACGTGCCACTGTTTATCATAACTCCTGTTATTACGTAGTTGGCAAATATACTTATTTATGAAACAATACACATGTCCAAAGCAACTTGCTGAGGTGAGGACTCCTTCCTATGATAATGAAGCTCTCAAAAAAATGGCACCATGAGGATATGCAAATCCAAAGAAGGCCTTTCAAAATATGCCCAGTTGTTTCTGTGCTCTATACTATTTATAATCTGTATCAAATGGAGGATAATCTGATTTAAACAGGACAGTATCTCCAGCCTTTTCTAATTGTCTGGGTGTTTCTATTGCCTACTATCTAGCAGTTGTGCAGTAGCTTCATTTATTCAAGGTTCTTAACTGCTAATTTGAAATTGACTGAAAAAATTAGGTTGAAAATGTTCAGTTTCTAGTTTCAGAAGCAAAACCCCAGGTCCATCCAAGCTCTGTTTAACTTGTTACCAGCTTATTTGATCACACTGGGTAGGATTGAACTCTGGATTCAGGCAAGGAACTGTAGGTGTCTTCATGTGTGATTAGTGTCTAAGCTTCCTTTAATCAATGGGAATCTGGCCAATACAGTCAGTGGAATATAGAGGGCTATTCAGGTCACTGTAACATAAGCACATTGAGCTTGATTCATTTACCCATACTGAGGATATCTAAAAGATTTACACAGGTCTCGCAAATGTGGCGCGGCACCTGTTGGAAGTCCCGTGCCATTCTGGAGCACCAGCTGAAGGTTAGGCAAAGTTGTATAGAGGATAAATGTGCTAGACACCTCCATGTCCCACTTGGTCAGCTGAGTGACCGTCCAGTCACCACTGACTACATTAACTGGATCTCTGTATTACAGTAGGAGCTTAAACACAGTCATTGCCGAAATATGGAAATAGGCGTTTGGATCTTGAAGTGAATCCTGCTCCCCCCTACTCAAAAGTGCCTCAGCTAATAGCTACATTACAATTCTATCAGCTTGCGTTTTTTCACTTCAGGTGTATTTTGGAGTTAATTCTCCATCAAATATGACTAAACTGAACAAGTGAAAGACTTATGTTTTAAAGATTAAATTTAATTAATATGGTGATGAGATCTCTTTAAAGAGGAATAGATTAAATGTTGTGTGTCCTTCCCAAATGTGAATTAGTCCCATCATCAAATGTAGATCCATTGTCTGTATTAACCTGCAGTTTACACTGATTCTTCCTGATTTAAGCTAAGGTGCAGCATTCTGGGTGCAAGAATTGCACTGCACTGAGGCCATTTAGTCTCCCCTGGGGACAGTCTGTCAGGACAGTAGAGGAACCAACCCCAAAACAAAATACAGCTGTACTGACTGGCATGGACAGTGCCATGCTGGCTTGCGCTAATTTTCTTGATGCCTTCCCTAAGTCACTAGTGATAGGAGTTAACTGGAGTTTGATAGAATTAAAGCTGCTCTCTGATTTCTACACAGAGTATGCATAGCAGAAGAAGTGTCCCTTCTCCTTCTGGTAAACTTTCATATTACTATGAAATAAAGAAATTATATCTTGCTCAGAAAATCATGTTAGCTGCCAGTGTGAATCTAGTCAAGAATGCTTTGCTTTTGATTTGTTTTTTATGTAATAAGCACAAAAAAATGAAAAGGTTTAATTTGGTAATACAGCTAGGACTCTACTTATCTGATGGGCTTTCTGTTTCCAGTGCTGACCTAATACATTAAAAAGAAAAAAATATTTAATTTCTTAGTCTTGTTTCATTAAAAGAGATGTCAGCTCAAGAGTAAGGATGACTATAACCAGTATCTTTAGATATCAGGGAATGTAGTTCTAAAGCCAATTATCTCCAGAAAGATTTGTTTATTATTTGAGGTAATTTTCTGAGGACAAGTGTTATCAAAGTCACCCACACTGGGTGCCTTTGAAAATAGGGGTATTTGTAATAGTTTCAGTGTTACGCAGAAGAATTTAGTCAAATGATAACCACTAGCAGGGGTTACCTTAACTTTGTCTTGCACAGGAGGCATAAATTCTGGTAGAGGTGCCCATGAACAAGAAATTTTTATAAGTCTGTGCTTCATCTAATACTTTTCACCTTGTGGAATATGTACAAAACATACAAGCTTTGTCTCTTGGCAAGTAATATCTGATCATGACCTGCTGCTGGTGGTATACATATGACCCAAAGGTATGAAGCAGCTTCCTTCAAAGAAAACTATTAGAGTAGCTTTGCTTTTCCATTGTCAACAGGCTTTAGACTTGCATTGCTATTGCATGTGAAGCTGTTAAAGTTAAATGACTGATATGATACACCAAAAAACCAAGAAACTAGGGAGTTAAGCTGTTTTGTAGTAAGTAAAGCACCTCCTACTCTTCACCCTACCTCCCCACCATGTTTCACTGTGATGCATGGTAATTGTAGTTCAGTACTACTCCTAAAACACTAGTTAGGCACTTGGTATTTTTCATCATACTTAATGCACATGGCTTACCACCACCATACTAGCTTTGCAGACACTAAACATCCACAATAGTTCATGAGTTACAGATGTTGGGGTGAAAAATAATCCAATAAAAGCATATACTGAGAAAGCAGGAAGGGATAAGAATAAAGTTTGTGCCATACAGTTGTTGGCATGTGGTAGCTGTAGTAACAAGAAGAGGCCTAATTTATGATGTCTAAACGAAATACCTAAGATAAGAGTGTAATTTCCCTTTGCAAACACTTTCTAACTAATTAATACAGGCTGGTTGCCTATGTAACTGGTGTTCTTTGGAGAAGTCTATGGCTGACGTATAATTGATTTGTGCAAGGAAATGCACCCTGGTCCAGAGCAAGTGATGGAAAGTGGTTTATATGCAGACTGTGCAAGTCTAGCATTCTTTGGAAGGAATTTGCTGTCTCTGTATATGGCTATAAAATGTGGGACCTGAGCAAATTATCTTCTCTAGTCAGTTTTCTTCATCAAGAGAACTGGTTATTTTCCTCCAGGCTAGACTTGGGGAGCAAACTGAAATGCATTGTAAATTATTGAAGGACCAGAGCTGTGGAGCAAAACTACAGCCAGACCAGTCTGATAGTACAGACTATACCCTAACGTCCTCTATTTCTTCAGAGGGGGAGTGGTACAGCTAAGCTTATGACACAAGCCTGTCTGATGCTTAAAATTAAATGGGATGAACCCAGGCATGAGTACGTTTCGCAGATAACGTTGAGAAAGCAGTATTAACATATAGTTTTGTTATTGCTTTCCGTTTATTTCAGGTGTGGTAGGATATAGTAATCCTAATTGTTCCCTCATCAAGTTCTTGTATTTGAAATTTGTATCTTTTTACAAGGTGCCACAGTTAAGCATATTAATAGGTGCAGACATACAGGTGGTAGATCGTGTGGAAACACTGACCATACTTATGTATCAGGAGCTATGTGGCAGTACCCTTATTTGCTTTAGGATAAGAACTGATGGAAAATCAGCATCTGGCAAAATATTTTACTTCTGGCTGTGTGTCTTATTTTGTATGTCCAATCCCTTGGTCAGTATCATGTGCATTTAGCCCTCTCTTTGATTAGTCAAGTTTTTGCACTCCCATCACTCTTGTACTGAGCTCTCCATTCAAACAGGAATCTGTGTGCCTGGCTTCCACACAAGTAAGGACAGTTACATGGGTCTGGTCTCACTTAACCTATGCCAGTCTGCACATTCCCTCATTCAATGAGTTAAGTTTTGCATGGGTAAGATGTGGATTTTAAATTCTAAGATAAATACTGAAAGGTATCCCCATTAAAACAGATCTTGAATCTAACTAGTTACTAATAAAGCTTAAGTTAAATAGGTTGTCACTAAAAAATAGTGTTCAGCAATGAAAAATGGGCTTCACAAGGAAGTACTTCAGCCCAAGTCCAAAGATTCCCTACAGCATATTTGTTAAGAAACTAAATAAGATTTACATAAAAATATAGACTACCTAAAACCTTGTCATGTGTCCATTGTAGGTAGCTGTGATAGAACCATGGTATGAGGGTAAAGAAATGAGGTACAAGGTATTAGAAAGACCAGTATAGGCCTTACAGCTTTTTTTTTAGATCCTGCTTTTGTTCCCATGTATCTCAAATCAGTCATGCATTTGTTTCTCTAACTTTATATTCTTTTTAACACATTGATTCTTGAATGCTCTTCAAGATGCACCCTTCCATGTTTGCCTTGATGATGACCTTTACTGTCTGTTTGCAGTAAGAAATTGCCAGTGGTTAACTAGCTTCTCTCAGAAATACAGTATGATTTCCAAAAGGCTTGGTAAAGCAGCCATGCTCCCTCTTGCCAAGCCCACTCTAGGGCAGCTACTTCAGCATTTACTTTTCCATCCAAGTAATAAAACATAACTTGGTGTGAAAATTCCACACTTGGTAGTAATCTCAGAAAGAAATGTGGATTTATGGTCCTTTTAAAGTTCATTTTAGAATACAACCCTAATTGCACTATCAGACACCTGTAAAGTAACAAATTTTGTATGTATCGTTATACTGTAACTGTTAAAAGTATTTTAATGTGTGAGGTTCTTTGCTTGTCTAACTGTCTGTTTTTACTGTAGCATTAAACAAGCATTTTAATTCCTATTTTTGTAGTGTTTGGGAGGTTTGCTGGGTCACTTACGTAACAAAGTACTTTGATCTAATCTCTAGAATAGAGATTAGTCCTTTGTGCCAAGTCGGATTTTCATTGTATAATGTCCATTGCTGCCAATGAATTATGCTCAGCCTAGACTTCCAGTACATTAGAACAGACATGTTTGCTTTTATTTGGTTATTAGTCTCTTCTGACAATTATTTTAAGAATAGAAGTTCTGTTGATCATGGCAAGGTAGTACATAGTTAAAGAAGATGACTAATAACAAAGAATTGGTTTGACTTTCTTTTATTTTTGGAGTAAACACATTTGTATGGAAAAGTCACTGGCAAAGATGATTAAGAAAAATAAAGATAGGAGAAAAATTATCAGTTGGTTTGGATTTTTTTCTAGGTTATGCGTTCCTCCTGTTCCAAGAAGAGAGTTCTGTTCAGGCCCTGATTGACGCCTGCATTGAAGAAGATGGAAAGCTCTATCTATGTGTTTCCAGTCCTACCATCAAGGACAAGCCAGTAAGTAAACAGTAGATGGCCTGCAGGCTATAGCTGCCATCTGTCTAAAGCTGCATTTGAAATGATGACGATGAAAATAATCAAAAGCAAACTACCGTTGGCAGAGCTCAACATCTGGAACAGTTGGATGATTTTAAAATTGTAGTGTTTTGAATTAATAGGATTAAAACAAAGCACCGAGACATGCTAAACTAATGGGGTTACGACTGACAGTTTATATAGGCTGATGAACATATATCCACAATGTAGTGAAACTGAAAGTAGCATACTATTTTCTTTCCCAATTTAATAGGTTCAGATCCGTCCCTGGAATCTAAGTGATAGTGACTTTGTGATGGATGGTTCCCAGCCGCTTGATCCTCGAAAAACAATTTTTGTTGGAGGAGTCCCTAGACCATTAAGAGCTGGTGAGTATAATCTGTGGCTATTCTTAAAAGTAGGAGATTATTGGAAATAATTTGAACCATTCATACTTTTGTATAGTTACATATGGATAGGTATAGATATATACATAGAAAAATAGAAGACTGTCATGATAGTTATAACCACAGTACAATATTCATGTTTTCTCACATTTCTCTAGTAACTGTTTTCATCTGGCTTTGGCCATAAGTCACTGTTCATCATTGAGATTTACTGGAAACTGTTACATGTCTAAGGCTGTAAAAAAGATTTTGATTATACTAGCAAACTGTAGTGTAAACTATGTCACAAAAGAGTTCGTTTTAAAAATAATGCTATGAAAACTTCTCTGCCATGGTCCATGAGTATGTGGAGCACTATTTGTACTTGCTTGTCATTGTGCATTAGTTACTCTTCTACTGCTATGACATTGCAGTTACTCTTGCTAATACGGACAAAGCAAAAACACAGGTGATGAAGGAGTAGGAATAGAGGAAAAAAAGGAAGAAATTCAGAGAGCTATCATAGTCTGTATGGCACAACACTATATGAGATTGCAGGACTCCTTCTAGACTTTTGTCAGAGTGCATGAAGGAAAAATGAAATGTTTCTGTAGCTGTAGAAATGGTTGATCTACAACCTGGGCAGTCTGCTTGTGAGATTGACTGCAGTAGCCTTTTACAATATTTTATGGTGGCCTTCTAGTAAGTAGGTTGAAGTGAATGTTGGAAGTAGAAGCATAACATACAGTGGTTCAAATCCCATCTTCTATTAGAATGACTCCTGGACTTCATCAGTCTTCCATAGTTCATAATGAATTTTATACTTAAAGAAAGATGAGCTATCAGATGGAAGATGTAGGAGAACCAAGAAGTGATAGTGCAAATTTGGGGTATAAATAATCTTAAATTATTCTATCTTGGACCTGCAATGCTCAAGCTTTTCTGTTATTTTACTTTTAAGACTGTACTTTTGACTGTAGTACAAGCTCTGTAAATGAGCATAAACACAGTATGTTCCAACTGCAGATAAATTTTTCTTCAAATTCAGTCCAAATACTCCAGATTACTGTGCTGAATGTCTGTGATAAATTTAATGGATACATTCTTATGTTTAGCTTTCAAATGCCCTGTATATGTGAAAATGAAACTTTTTATGGCATTGTGAAATAAGAATCATGACTTCACAAAAGCTGTAAAACTTTAGGAGACTTTTCAAACAACTGTTAAATATCAATGACTGCTGAGACCTTTATACCTAATACAGAGGATACTAACTCTGAAAAAAATAGTATTTTTCCACCTAAATGAATTGCAAAACTGAATTCAGTATAAAATTTTACTAGAGGATTGCTAAAATACTTGATCTGTAAAATTTGGGATTTTTGTTTCTATGAACTTCAGTATCTATGGTAAATGTAGCACTGTAGAGATAATCAAGCTCTGTGTGGCTGATGAAAAAGATGCCAACTACATCTCTAAATTCAAGTAGGACATAGAGTGTTAGGACAGCCAGTGAGCGTGTACCAAGGAATTTGTGGCACATGGATATATTTTATACAGCTTACATTCCATGCCTGCCCAAAAAGTCTTTTGCTGTAATCTCCTGAAAAAAACTGCCCTGGAATTTCAGTTCCAGGTTATCAAGAACTGCAGGGACTTACAATTCCATTGTTCCTTGGATGTATGTACCCACAGTATGAAAGATCTCTCTGCTGAGTATTTCATAGCTTATTTAATATGTTTTTATATTTCTTGTTATTATTGTTACATCAACTGTTGCAAAATTAATTATTAAATTTAACTTTTCTAACATTTTAAAATACAAGTATATTATAAAAAGTTTGTTCTGTAAGAACAGTTTAAATGAACATTATTTTGTTTCTTAATAGTGGAATTGGCTATGATCATGGACCGTCTCTATGGTGGAGTTTGTTACGCAGGAATTGATACTGACCCTGAGCTGAAATACCCAAAAGGTGCTGGACGTGTTGCTTTTTCCAATCAGCAGAGTTATATTGCTGCCATCAGTGCTCGGTTTGTTCAACTTCAGCATGGCGATATTGATAAACGAGTAAGTTATACAGAAATTAAAAAAAATAAATAAACATGAGAGTGATGATCTAGAAAGGAACTTCTCGGGGTGTGGTAACATTGCATTTGATTTGCTTTCATGCCAGCTTCTACATTTCTTTTAGTATTCCTGTAACTCTACTAGTTCCAAGAGCTAAACCGTGAATGCCCCCAGACGAACAACATGCATTCCACAGAGCAGCAGTTTCTTCCTTGGACATATGTTAGACCATATGTTCTTTCCATTCTGGAGTTCCTGGTTTTGTTGCATATGGGCAAAGGGCTTGAAAATCTTTTTCTCTCCCTTGTTCTAATGAAACCAAATACTGTGATAATTCCTCTGTCATTCATAGGAAACTCTAGTATTCATGGGTTTCAGATTAGCTTTATATTTGCAGCTGCCCTTAATTTCAGCCATAATTGTCAGTGCTCAGCGCTTCAGAAGAATCAAGCTCAACACCTAAAATACTAAATGTCTTATCCTTTCTGTTTGAGAGAGTCTTCTAAGTACTTACTGATGTACATTTCTGGTTGCTACAGATGCTTATTGCTAGCTAAAGCAAAACTAACTTTCAGTAAGAAGAGTAGTCCTCTTCATTGCTCCTAGTTAGAAGTATAAGAGTAGCAAAGAAAACTGGCATCTAAATTATGTCAGTTTTAAGTGTCACTAGTTTTGATGTCAAGAGCTGCAGAGGTAGTCACTGGTATTAATAGATGTTCTTTAAAAAAAAAAAAAAAAGTCTTAGAGGAAGAAGGATTGAGTAAGTAAAGTAGTTCAAGGTCCAGTCTCCTCTACAGATGAAAGACATGGGGAAAATAAGGTAGTATGGTTAACAAAAGTCTGCTGTAGGGAGGTAGCATGTGCTTCTCTCCTTTCAAATAGACAGAGTAATACAGCTTTACATCTGTCTTTCAGATACCAGTTGCCTAGTGAGCTGAAATCCCCAAACAGGGTCCTTTCCAGAGGATGAGTGGGTCTGAATGTGGGTAGGAAACTAGGCTTCACGTTAAGATGTGACGGCTACCTTTTTCTGGTGGGATTGCTGTCTTTGTAACTCGCAGCTGACTTTGACTAATTTAGATTTTTAGCTTTTAGCTAAATTTAGCTAATTTAACTTTTTAGCTCTACCTTTTGGCTAATTACATAACAGGAAAAATGGCCTTGACACTGTGACTGCATGAAGGGAAATAGAACTATTAATCATTTTGCATTTGAGTATTTGGACAAAATGGGAGTAAGGTCCAGAATCCAGAACTCCTTCTAAAGAAAAGCTAGATGGGTCATTTAGCTTCAGAATTGGGTATAGCTTAGTGTGTTTCAGGAACCATCTATAGTGCATTTGGCTGTGAAGTGACCTAACTTTAAAATCAGAGGTGGATGGTTGGGTCCCATCCAAAGTAGTTCTCCCTCCAAGGTGGGAGACATGGACTTGAACCCTGTAAACTAGGAGACACTTTTATCTTGGTCCTCCTCTTCCCATGGGAGTGTCCTTTGCAGTAGCAGAGCATGTGGTAGACTGGCAGTTCCATCTCATAAGAGAAAGGCAGGCACGAATCTGCCTTTGAAGGCTGCATTTCCAAGTACGCTGGTTTGTTGTTTTGGTTTTTTTATGATAGGTCACCAGTGATTTTAAGGGCTCGTTGGATGCTGAGCAGGCATCTGAAATGGCAGTGCTTGCTGTTTGCAGAGAAAGGGATATAACTTGTTAATGTGTGATGTAACACTGAAATACTTAAAAGGGGGATGGGCAGTAAATCTCCAGTAAAACAGTGGGCATGTGCTGCAGGCCTCTTGGAGCTCGGACAGGGAAAAAAAAACACAAAATCTACCCCAAATACTAGATTCAGAAGCACAGCATTTGAGTTATATCCATGAGACTTAATTTATAGAAACAGTAGTCAAATGATTTCTTCAGTCATGATTACAAAAAAAAAAGGGAAGAAAATAGTATAATTAGTATCTGTAGATAATTATTCATGGGCTAGAGAGGTTGGGGGAGACAGAGAAGGAAGATCTATGCTTTCTCTTTAAATATCTGAATCCTCACAGTTTCTTTTTTGGTTGTTATAATTTGTGTTCTTTCTTTAGTGTTGCTTTTTTCATTCTTGAAAATTAATTTTCTTGACTCAAGTATTCTCTTAAATCTGGAATTTTGGCATTTTTATTAGCATCCTTGGTTTTTCTTGTATTTAAAAATGTGTGCTACTCCTGAGATGTTTCACTTGCAAAATACAGCTATGCCAAATCTAAGTATTTTAATAAATTTATCTTTAAACTTCTTTATTTCTTTCAGAGGGTTTTTAATCTTTATTTTTTAAATCATCTTCTCTAATTAAATCCTATGGTCAGTCCTTATTATTTATATAATTTTGTATATTTATACAACCCAGTTATTTGTGTTATGGAGGAGTAATAGAGAACACCCTCTTTTTAGAGAACACCTTAACTCTTAGGTGCTTCTGAAAGTATGAAAAAAGCTATTTTCAGAAATAGGTTTTTGCTCCATGGAGTTATACACTGCCTTTTCAGGCTCTGAAAATACTCTGAAATCAGTATTACTGCTGATTTATAGATGAGCAAGCAATTAGTATAAATCTCTAAACCACTGGTTTTGTAAATGAGGAAGATAGTCCTACTTTGGGTATTGCCTTCATCTGAGATGTCTGTGTTATGCTGGCCAATAAAGCAACATATTGCATATTGCACTGAAATCTGAGAGGCAGGCTGTTCTCCTACCCTTTACCTTAGTCTAGCCTTTCTATACCAGTTATATCCAGTTTCTGTAGGTCTGCTGTCCTTTCACATTCTTTTCATAACCAGTTTTGTCTGTGTAAAAGTCTTTTTTCATTGCTAAATTTTGCAGTTCACCTGTTTATCCTTCTGAACTTCAGTTCAAAGTATTTATAGCATTTTTTTGCACATACCTTTTCCTACCTTAATTGGAAATCTCAGTGTCACAGTCGCTTAACAAACATTGTCTGTGATCTTAACTTCTTCCTTACCTAAGTACTCTGCAGCTTCTCTCCAGTTCTTTTGATGTGTAGATATGTTTAGTTTCTCTTAACAGATGTTTTTCTTCAGTAAAGTGCTCCTTGTCCTGTTTTAGCATATATGAAAGCTCAGCTCCAAACATTTCCTTGAAACTCATTTTGAGTTTCAGCTCCAAACAATTCCTTAAAATGTTGTTAACTTTCATATGTCAGCAGTTTTCATCCACTTCATGTAAATACTTCTATTACCCAAAGTGTTTCTCTTAATACATTTGAAATCATCTTCATACCAATCTTGGTGCATTAATGCACCGAAGCTTGAAATATATGCTGCTTCATGCTTTCAGTAATTCTGAACCACGAACACAGTTACTGCATAAGGTACCTGTTTAGTGGAAAGTTTGAGTGTAATTTGTGATAAGGCAGGTCGTTGTAGTGAAATAAGAAGTAGAGCTTGTACTGAATATAGATTGCTGGAAGAAGCATACTCTTATTCCAAACATAGATGCATTTGACATGACGAGTATGACCTCTGCTTCTGAAGCTAAGAGCATGAAGACTATTCTGCTGTAAAACTTTTGGGTGGGTAGCTGTATGTGTAATTTTTTTCCTCTGGAGACAAAATGGAAAAAATAGCATTTTAAAGTTCTTATTATTTCAAACGTATTCTGCCTGGGTAAAGTACATAAAGTCAATGTCTATATGTAGCATTCTTCTCAGATAATAGTATCTCAGAAAAAAAATCTCTTACGGTAGTGAGTTTTAGTATGAACTGGAATAACTCTTTTTGCTAACAAAATGCAGAAAATACTATCTTTAAAAGTGAAGAAAATGTGGAAAACAACAATACATTCCTTAATGATGGAGTCAACTCATTTTGTGTTTTATTATGAAGTTCTTCTTCCTGTCTGATCACAGTCTGTAACAGTTCAGTTACGCAAAGACATAATGCAAATTTACCACTGGACTCCTGCCACTTTTCCACTCTGGCAGTCAGATGAGTTTGGGAGAAAGAAACTGTATAAGACAGGTGTTTCTAGCAGTCTGTAGACTTGCAAAATGGTGTTTTAAAAATATTTTCAGAAATACATTGAATACAAATTTCTGTACAGCTCAAAGCCACAAGAACGGAAAAGTAATAGATGACCAAAATCTGTAACTCCAAATTTGACCATATTTTAGAAATGGGGAGTGAATTTATGGGGAACAGGAGTGCTAAAAGATCTGTATTCCAGCCTGCAGAAAGTACTTTTAATTTGCACACAAAAGCAGTACATGCAGAGACTTATTTTTTAAAAAAAGGTTAATGTATAAATGGTTACGTTCTTCTAAGTTCAGTTATTTTTTGCTAAACAGTATAGAATTGGATGTCATGTAAATTTGGGAGCTGATGAGATTAGTTGGGAGACCTCTGGGCTTTTTTGCTTGTTTTGTACACATACTTCCATATTATCATTTGCCAAGAACATCCTTCCAGAATAAATTACGGGAGGTTCTGATGTAGCTATTTATTACATATATATAGTGTACTTCTAAAGATCTGCCTTGAAGTGTTCTGCTTACTGTATGGATAGATCCATAGCTGATAGATAATAAAGAATAATAACTGATTAGTTAGATAAAGGCGTTAATATGTCTGATTTCATACTTCTGTTTGCGGGTTTTTTTAAACCAGAAAAAACCTGAATGTCCTCGTATAACTTTAAGTAGGAATAGGTATTAACTAGAATCGTTTCTGTTTTATTCCAACAGGTGGAGGTAAAGCCATATGTGTTGGATGACCAGATGTGTGACGAATGCCAGGGTGCACGATGCGGTGGAAAGTTTGCTCCTTTCTTTTGTGCCAATGTCACTTGCCTGCAGTATTACTGTGAGTTTTGTTGGGCAAATATCCACTCTCGTGCAGGACGTGAATTCCATAAGCCATTGGTAAAGGAGGGGGCTGACCGCCCACGTCAGATCCACTTCCGCTGGAATTAAACATGGTGAACCAGCATCTACATAAGGAAAGAAGGGTGCATGTGGCTTACTGTGTTTGAAGATACTGACATGCAGAAGAAATAAGTGCATTCTTCTGCTTTTCACCCCAGCTATCAATACATGCATCTTTATCAGCAGCCAAAACACTACAAGCCTCTTGTTTTTCACCAAAACCCTACATCTCAGGCTTACTAATTTTTGTGATATTTTCATGTTAAAA